GTGAACACTATTATTTGATAATCTATATGGATTATGTGATATTTCTCATATTTTTAATGTCGGCAGTTAGTATCAGACCATGCTCCCTCTGTATTCCTTAAAACGGCCTTTGACTTGAATTTTATATCATCAGGTTATATCGCTCACTGTTCCTCTCTGTTGCTGTCATCCAATGCTCTCCCCCACCTTAATTCTTCCCTCTCATTTTTAGACTATATAGCTCCTGCTCACTGCAGCTCTCTCCAGTACTAGCCCTATCTTAATCTTTGATGATTTAAAATCTATGTAGATTGATGATGATCTTTCCAATACCCTGTCTTCTCAGTTCTTTGACCAATCCTCTCCTCCAGTAATCTTATCCTCCATGTATTTCAGCCACTCACTCCCATGATCATTCCCTAGAGCTTGTCATTATCAACTGTGCCCCATCTGTAGTTTCTATTTCATGAATCCACTCTCTGATCATATCTTCTGTCCTTCTAGTGCATTCCCTTTAGTACTCTGACCCCAATAATCCTTCTCCCACCCCCATACTAGGATACCAAATCCAAAATCTTGCCACCTCTTCTCTGGCCTCACCCTCGTCGTGTCCTTACTTCTCTCCTTTTTTTTTTAAGTTTTTTTTTTTAATGTTTTGTTTATTTCTTAGGAGAGAGAGAGAGACAGCGTGAGCAGGGGAGGGTCAGAGAGAGAGAGTCACAGACTGAAACAGGCTCCAGGCTCTGAGCTGGCAGTCAGCACAGAGCCCGACGCGGGGCTCGAACCCGCGAACCGCGAGATCATGACCTAAGTGAAAGTCGGACGCTTAACCGACTAAGCCACCCAGGCGCCCCTCTTCTCTCTTTATTCATAAAATCCACACTCGATTTTCATAATCCCTCTCACATATGCTCTCCACTCTCTTGTTCCTCTTTAGCTTTGTTGAGCTGTCTTGGCTAATCTACCATCCTGATTAGATACAATTTCCTAATTTTTGGCTCTGCCTCTCATGCACCGTAATGTAGCTAGAGGTGGGGTGGGGAATAAAAATCCTGTTAATTGGACTGAATTTAAAATCAAAGCCATGACTCTCAAATAGGTCCTTTATGCTGCCAAGCTGTTACACTATGTGCCCTATGTCCATTTACTCTTCTGGTCCCCTTGACAACTGTTCTATGCCCTCTCTTTTCTCAACTTCTTTACCTTTCCCTCCACCCTTCTGCTCAGCGGATGATCTTGAGAGTATTAAAATTACTGAGTGTTAGAAAAAAACTTCCACAGAATCTCAGCACATATATCTATCCACTAGCATCTGTAGGGACATACACACCCACCCTCCTTTTCCATAGGCCAATTAGTAGGTTCCTATCTAAGTCTAATCCCTTCACTAGTATGCTAGAGCTGATCTCTTGTCTCCTACTCAAAGACATCAAGGGCAACTCTTCTCCCTCTCAGCTACACCATCAATTTCTCACTCTTTACTGGGTCAATTCCATCAGCATACAAATGTTATTTTTTCCACTTTAAAACAAACCAAAAAAGTTTGATGTGATTTCCTCCATTTGATGCCATAATTACCTCCATTTCTTTACTCCTTTTCATAGTAAAGAGTTGAATAGTCTGTCTCCAACTTTTCTCCTCTGATCTTCTCTTAAACCAACTCAGGAGCCACCCCTCCTACCTTACTCCACTGAAATGGCTCTCAGGGTCATCTATGTCCACATCATGCTGACTGTAATAATCAATTTTCAGGACTCATCTTACATGACCTATAAGTAGTTGTTGTTTTTTTTTTTAAGTTAATTTTGAGAGAAAGAGAGTGCACACATAAGCGAGGGAGGGGCAGAGAGAGAGAGAGGGAGAGAATCCCAAGCATCCCCACATGTGGGGCTTGATCTCATACCACAACATGAGCTGAAATCAGGAGTCAGACACTTAACCGACTAAGCCACCCGGGTGCCCCAACCTATCAGTAGTTTTTGACATAGGTGATCACTCCCTCTTTCATGGACACTTTCTTTGTCTTCCAAATTCTCTTACATTTTCGCCTACTTCACTGGTCACTCTTCAGCTTCCTTTGCTGTCCCTTCTCTTCTTAACTCTTAATGCTGGACTACCCCAGGGTTCAGTTCTCTCTGTGTACACCCACTCCCTTGATGATCTCAGTGAGTTTCGAGGCTTTAACTACCATCTATCTACCAAGGACTGGCAAATGTATATGGTTAGCCCAGACCGCTCCCTTAAACTCAAGACTCATGTCCAAAATAGAACTCTTGATCATGCCTCCTGAACCTGCTCTTCGACATTCTTCCCCATCCAGATCACTCTGTCCTTCCAGTTGCTTGAACCAAAAACTATAGAGTCATCCTTGACTCTCTATTTCTTCACACTGTGTTCAATCCACAAGCAAACCCTGTTGGCTCTATTCAAAATATATTCAGAATCATACGTTTCTCCACCTGCACAACTGCCTCCCCGGTTTGAGCCATTGTCATATCTTGTCTGGTTTACTGTAGTTGTCTTCTAACTAAAGTAGCTTCCACTGTTACTGTCTATAGACTTTCCTGGACACTGCAGCCAGATTCATCCTTTTAAATCAAATCTGACTGTGTCTCCCAGCAATGGCTTATAATTTCAGAGTCTGATCTACTCTCTCTCCTCCTCCCCCTCTGCTGTTACCTCTGGTCTTGTTTCCTTGTTCATTCTGCATTACCACGCTGCCTTCTTGTTGGTCTTTGAACATACCAGGTGGAGTCCCATATTAAAACCTTTGCACTTGCTATTCCCTTGCCTAGTATGCTCTTCCCATCTTGCTGCTGTCTACCCCGACCTCCATATTTGAAATTGCAGCAGTCTACACACTCAGACTCAGGCTGGTGTGTGACTGCATCTGCCAATAATATATGGCTTGGGGGTACCAGATCTCATTCAAATTTCTCCTCTCTGGCCCTGAGTAGGAGCATGTGGCAGCTCTGGCCATCTCCGGAACCATTTTGCAACCACATGGAGATAAATATTAGAATGAAGTGAGCCTTGGGGATGGTCTCATGAGAGAAAAAAAAAACCCAGATTCTTCAAAATGTCATTAAGCGGCTCTTTTGTTCTATACATGGAGAATTTTCTGCTTATGGACTTATAAATTATATCACAAAAATTCCTTACTACGTCAGTTTATAAACTAGGAATCTGGTTTTTGCAGCCAAATGCATCCTGATACACTGAACAGACATCTGGTGATACTTCCTAGTTTGTTGATGGCCTATAAAACTGTGAGAAGAAAACTAACCTCTGTCCAAAAGCTATATCTGTGATTATCAGATGGGCATGGAAACTGGATGGTAGAGAGAGACAACCGGGGCCCATGGGAGAAAGTAAGTGTTGGTAGAGAATGATTCTGACAGCACGGACGTTAGCAGTATGAAGTTCTAGGTACACATGACACTACACTGAAATCCACGCAAACCCACACCCTCAACTGCACCTGCCCACCCACTCCCGGCATACATGCTTCTGGCAAAGAGAGGGCTGTGGTTAACCCTAAAACTGTCTCACTGTGTGACTTCATCTTTTGCCATGGGATGCCCTCCAGCTCCGCTCCCCACCCCCAACCCCTGTATTTCATATACTAGAAGAGCTTCCATCCTAGCTGAATGTTAAGAGAGTAATAAACTACACAGATTAACAAGTGGAGATGCCGAGGGAACCCTGAAGGCTGTGGCACAGACAGCACAATGGCACAGATACACAGTATTATCAATGGCAAAGTCCCAGCTAAGCACAGGCATCAAAGCCTAAGATAAAAAAAATTAGGTGAGGAGGAAAGGAGATGGGTCAGATAACAGCTCTATGTATATATGAAAAACTATCTTGGTGGCAGCTATTTACCCAACATCCCTAAGGATGAATGTACAAAGGACATCCAGCTAGTGGGACCTAGATTATCTGGTTTGGGAAATAACTTTCAAAACAAAGATCACTAGCATACCCCCTCTTTGAGCCTTATCCCATCCCTGGGCCTTAGAGGGTCCTAGGTACATTGGGGTTCAGGGGTGAGGTAAAGATCAGTAATGCGGTGAGAACATTTGTGGTGCATGTTACTTGATAATTCTAAGAAGGAAAAGTTGGATGGTTTTAGGCTTTAATCAAAACGACCTAATAGTAATAACAGGCAATAATTATTCCTCCAGTTCAATGTGTATCTTTAAAGAACATTAGGTTTGCATTGTACCATAACTCAACCTTTGCCCATTTAAGATATCAAAAACAGCATTCTAAAAAATCTATTATTTTGCAACATAATCTATACTAAAATTTTAGCAATTATCCTTTTAGGGTTGAAGGAAGAGTTACTGGTGATTTTATTCTCTTACTCTGTGTCTTCCAAACATTCTAGAGTCAACATGTATTACCTCTATTAGAAAACCCTCAACTACAGAAAATAATTTCTTCCAACATTTTCATGCTTCGTCTCACTTCACTATTTTCTTCTTAAAACATTTTCATAGTATTTCTCACCTCAGAGTGTATGGCTATAGTAACTTTTGCCTTCTAAAATCTGATTTTTATAATTGAATAGTTTTCAGTGAAGGGCTTTTCATGGTAATTTCAATATTAGCTAAAGCTCTATTTTTGAAGCAAACATTTATTTACTTCCAGAAAAACCCGAAACGTGTGAAATAAATCTGAGATTATGGTGGAATGTTTTCTTTTGCAGTCAAGTATCTACTCAGACGGTTTTCAATTTGGTAATGGAAAATGGCTTAGACATCCTAATCCAACTCCTGCACGTCACAGATGGCAAGACTGCTGCTGGCTAGAAGAACTCTGGAGGCAATGTTTGTGGGAAAAATACACGAAAAAAAATCTCATGCAAGATTTCCAAAGTTCCCTTGTCAAGCTATAAGCACAAATCTTGTGCATTTTCCCTCTCCAGGATTTGGTCCTCTTTTCGTTGTTATTTAGTAAATCCCCAAAATAAATTTTGTCTGTTCGGGCTGGCATTAAAAACACCACAGACTGCATACTTTAAATAAGTGAAATTTATCTTTCCACAGTTCTGGAGACTACAAATCCCAAGATCAAGGTATCCACAGGGTTCAGTTTCTGGTAAATCTCTTCTGGCTTGTAGATGGCCTTTCCTGGATACACCGGCGCGCGCGTGCACGCGCACACATACACACACACGCACATTCAGAGAGAGAGAGAGAACACGGGAGCACGCAGGTCAGCATTCTGGTGTTTCCTCTTACAAGGGCACTGATCCTATCTGATCTGGGCCCTACCCTTATGACCTCATTTAATCTTAATTAATTAATTCCTTACAAGCCCCTTCTCCAAATCCAGCCACAATGGGAGTTAGAACTTGAACATACAAATGGGGGAAAGGGAGCACACAAACATTCTGTCCACGACAAATCCTCTGCCCAGAAGTTCATGAAGTTCATGAAAGGATGTCACATCATTGGGTTTCAGAGGACGCATTCTTTTTATTCTTTTTTTTTTTTTTTTTTTTTAATTTCTAGGAGAGAGAGAGAGAGACAGCGTGAGCAGGGGAGGGTCAGAGAGAGAGGGAGTCCCAGACTGAAACAGGCTCCAGGCTCTGAGCTGGCAGTCAGCACAGAGCCCGACGCGGGGCTCGAACCCACGAACCGCGAGATCCTGACCCAAGCGAAAGTCGGACGCTTAACCGACTAAGCCACCCAGGCGCCCCTCAGAGGATGCATTCTAAAAACACTTGGTAAGTAGTTATCCACGTCTTCCGGCCTGTCATGGCGGTCATAGTTCCTCTTGTTCCCTACTGATCTTGTTTTTTTGTTCCAAACCTTTGAAACAAAAATAAAAGCTTGGATTTTTAATCTGGTGCTGTTGATAATGAAGGCAATACCAAGTCTGTATATGATAATATCCAGCGTGTTTGGATCTAAAAATGCTGGTAACTTCAGATCAAGTGCCCTTTCCTCGAGGCTTATTCTGACAGTTCCATAGCATTAGTCCCTCATCACACCATCTTTCGTGGATTTTTGCCTTTTTTGTCTTTTATGACAATACTCAGTGTTTTCCTACACTCCTCATGGTTTCTTCTGTTTTCTGAAATGACTTTTCCTTTGGCTTATACTGTGCATTCACAGGCAGAATTCTATTATTTTATTCCAGGTCTTGAAGATTTTATATAATCTCATTCTTCATCTATTGTTTCTATGTGGACCATGTTCATATTTGTGCCCTTAAGCCCTAAGCTGTCCTATAGATTCCCTTCTCACTCCCCACCTCCTGTGTTTAGTAAACAATTTCATTTTTATTTCTTTCTTTCATCTCAATTCAGAATGCTCCAAACTGATCATCTTCTAGAAAATCAGCTTCCTTGTATCTGGTCACATGCCCCAAAAGAACTCTTAGTAATTTTGATTGACTGATTGATCAACTGATATAGTCAGAACTTACTGAGCACCTACTATGTCAGACATTACGCTTGATAGTGCTTATATCCAATAAATCACCAAATGTTATTCTTCTGTAATGTCTCTCATAAGTGTCTGGGTCTTTTCCAATTCATCTGTACTAGTTATTTCATATTTGGATTTTTTTCAGCATCTCCTACCTGATGATCCCCTAATTATCTTTTAAGATGCTAATGAAAAGTCCCCACTTCTGTGAGTAGGTTGACTTGTGGGCTCCCATCATATACATTTAAGTCTTAACCACTGATATCTTTGAATGTGACCTCAACTGGAAATGTAGGCATACATGAAACATATTGCAGATTTGGTTCTAGACTGCTGCAATAAAGCAAATATCACAATAAAGCAAGTCAAACTAATTTTTTGGTTTCCATATAAAAGTTTACATTGTACTGTATTACACTAAACTGTAGTATATTAAATGTGTAATAACATTATGTCTAGGAAAAAGGTGTATCCCTTAATTTTAAAATATTGCTAAAAATGCTAACTATCATCTGAGCTTTTGGAGGGTCAGAATCATGGATCAGATCACCATAAAAAACATTATAATAATGAAAAAGTTTGAAATATTGTGAAAATTACTAAAATGTGACAGAGACATGAAGTGAGAAAATGCTGTTGGAAAAAATGATACCAATAGACTTGCTCAATGCAGGGCTGCCATAAATCTTCGGTTCTTTTTTTTAACATTTATTTACTTATTATGAAAGAGAGAGAGAGCACGCGCGTGCATGTGTATGCTTAAGTTCGGGAGGGGCAGAGAGAGGGAGAGGGAGAGACAGAATCCTAAGCAGGATCCACGCTATCAGCACAGAGCCCAACGCGGGGCTTGATCTCATCTGTTAGTTCATGACCTGAAATGAAATCAAGAGTTGGACGCTTAACCAACTGAGCCACCTAGGTGCCCCCATATAAACCTTCAATTTGTAAAAAAAAAACACAGTATCTTCAAAGCACAGTAAAGTGAAGCACAATAATATGAGGTATGCCTGTAAAGTCTTTGCAGATGTAATCAAGTTAAGATGAGGCCATACTGGATTAGGACTGGTGTCCTTATAAGAAGAGGGAAATTTGGACATGGAAACACAGAGGAAAGAAGGCCTGGGGATGATGATGGCAGAGATTGGAGGGATGCAGCCACAAGCCAAGGAAATCCAAGGACTGCCAACACCGGAAGCCACTAAAGCATGGAACAGACTATCCCTGAGAGCCTCTATAAGAAACTAACCCTGCTGACAACCTAATTTCAGACTAGTGGCCTCCAGAACCGTGAATGAAGAAATTTCTAACGTTTTAAGCTACCAGTTTGCAGTAATGTTTGACAGCAGCCCTAGTAAACTAAAACCCTCTGTGAAGCCATTTATAATCACCCCAAAGCTCTTATTTCTTTTGCAGTTTCTTTACTTGCCATGATTTTTTAAAAACTTGCTGTTGACTGTCCTATAAGGGAAAAATATCACTTAAAACTATTAGCACGGACTTTATCATTGACCTTTGTATTGGGCAATATCAGTTTATTTTTTTAATATATATATTTTAATGTTTATTTATTAATTAAAAAAATTTTTACATGTTTATTATTTATTTTTGAGAGACAGAGACAGAACACGAGTCCGGGAGGGGAAGAGAGGGGGAGATACAGAATCCAAAGCAGGCTCCAGGCCCTGAACTGTCAGCATGGAGCCCAATGTGAGGCTGGAACTCACAAACCACGAGATCATGACCTGTGCTGAAGTCTATGCCCAACCAACTGAGCCATCTAGGCACCCTCGGGCAATACTGGTTTAAAATGCAAACTCATATATGGATCACCCAAATTACAGTTTGTATTTCATGGACCATATATGCATATGTAGTTCATTCTTAACTAGAACTGTGAGAAAGCTGCATAAAACTAACTCATATATATATATATATATATATATATACACGTGTATATATATATATATATATTTTATGTATATATAGAGTTTCTTTATTTTTGAGAAAAAGAGAGAAAGGAAGAGAGAGAGGCAGAGAGACAGGGAGAGAGCAAATCCTAAACAGGCTCTGCGCTGTCAATGCAAGGCTCAAACCCACAAACTGCAAGATCATGACCTGAACTGTAATTAAGAGTCGGACGCTTAACCTGCTGAGTCACCCAGGAGCCCCACTCATATATTTATTTCACTTCTTTCCACCTTCAGCTTACATATAAGAATGGACTGACAGGAAAAGAAACTGGTTGCCCCTCTTACCATTTCCTACTATATCTTCATTTTTAGTGTTAGCGGCTGGCTAATCCTGGGAACTGACACAAGTAAAAAAGGAGATGACCGGATTTCTTGCTCATTTATGCTTCTCAGAATACCACTGCCTTCTTTCTGCATTCACAGTAAGTTCACAGCCCTTGGCACTATCTGTGCCCTCCCTTTCCTTCCCTTTACTAAGTTGTATGTGTAATGCACTTACCTTGTATTGATTTTACATCTATTCTAACTCCCATTCATTGTAGTTTCAATAGAATTCTGTGCTCCTCAGGCATCTTGAATGATAAATGTAAATGGCTGGCCAAGAAGAAGGGACACTCATGTATTGTGTGTACCTCTTCTGCTCATGCTCACGCTCCATTGTGCTCCTGTTTCTAAAACACAAATTCAAAGGCAAAATTATTAAGCATTTCAAAACGGTGACAACTGAGTGTTAAACCAAATGCAAGGTCCTTCTGATAGCAGGGTTCTGTGCAATTGCATGTCAAGGAAGCCAGCTCTAGTTTAAGAGTCCCAGTTAATCCACAACCTTTTCAATGACAGTATTGTCAACCTCTTCATTTTAGCCATCTGTGTAGAGATCTCTCATTGTGACATTTATTTGCATTTCTCTGATCATTAATGAGGGTAAGCATCTTTTTATTAGCCATTTGGTGTGTGTGTGTGTGTGTGTGTGTGTGTGTGTGTGTGTGAGTGTGGTGTGCTTGTTTGACCCTTTTGCCTATTTTTCTATTAGCTGCCTGTCTCTTTTTTTCTTCTTGATTTGTAACGGTTGTTTTTATATTCTGGAAAGGAGCATTATGTAGATTACATGTGTACCAAATATCTTCACCCATTTTATGACTTGGTTTTCATTCTCTTATATTTTGATTACTAGAAGTTCAACTTTTTAAAAGATTTTATGTTTGGGGTGCCTGGGCACGTCAGTCGGTTGGGCATCTGACTTCGGCTCAGGTCATGATCTCACAGCTTATGAGTTTGAGCCCTGCATCAGGCTCTGTGCTGACAGCTCAGAGCCTGGAGCCTGATTTGGATTTTGTGTCTCCCTCTCTCTCTCTCTGTCCTTCCTCCACTCACGCTCTGTCTCTCTCAAAAATAAACAAACATTTAAAAAATAAGATTTTATTTTTAAATAATCTTTACACCTAATGTGGGACTCAAACCCAAAACCCCAAGATCAAGAGTTGTACACTCCACTGACTGAACCAGGAAGGCACCCCTTACATTTTTAATATAGTTTGTCAATATTTTCCTTCCAAGTTAACTGCTAGTTTGTATCTGGTTTCAGAAATCTTTGTTTTTCTCCAAGTCATAAAGATAATCTCCTATATTATTTCCTTAAAGTTTTATTGTTTTGTCTTGAATGTTTAGATTCACAATCCATCTGGAATCTTTTTTTTTGCAACCAATAAGAGGTAGGGGATCAAACTTTAATTCTCTTTTTAGTTAACAAAAAGATGGATTGGCAGCACAACTCCAGTTTGTCCCACTTAACAACTCCTTTGATGATTTTATATTAAAATGGGTAATAAGAGGGTGCCTGGGTGGCTCAATCAGTTAAGCAACCCATTCTTGATCTTGACTCAGGTCATGCTCTAATGAGTATAGTGGGATCAAGCCCCGCTTGGGTCACTGCACTGAGAGTGCAGAGACTGCTTGGGATTCTCTCTCTCCCTCTCTGTTTCTGTCCCTTCCCACTTGCAGGTGGGTGCATGCTCTCTCTCAAAATAAATAAACTTAAAAAAATTACTAATATGCTTATAGAATGAAAATCCTAAGAAGTAAAGAGTTTTTTTGGTCACTTTTTTGGAAGTGAGTTAGGTCTTTTGACAAAAGCTTCCAATAACATCAAATTTAAGGATTTTGTTTCAGAATAGACAGTTCCACAGCTATTCTGAGCTCCACTTACTAAATCTTTTGAATGTTTTGGTTAAAGTGGAGACTAGGTAAATGTGAGTGGGTCAAAGTAAACTCATCAAAAAATTCTAAGGAACCCTGGAATGGTATTACTCTGGGCATATCTACACCTCATATTTGTATTGGAATGACAGCAATACCACGAGTATTTACTCTGATCCATCTAATTTGCCTTTACCATTTCTTTTAGATTAAACCAACATTCCCTTTTTCCTGCCTTTGATCATGGCACTCTCCAATGTACTCTACATCTGGCACACAGTGATCTGGCCTTTATCTATCTAGTCTCATTCTCTGTCGTCTGTATCTTACCTTAACTGAGCTTTCTTCCCCTTCTCCCCACCCCTTGCAGATGCTGGTCTCTTGAGAACCTACCTACCTGCATCACTCCACTCTTCGCTGACTGGCGCTTGTCTTCAAGCAAGGATTAAGCATTATTCCATTCAGAAAGCCTTTAGAGAATGTGCTCAAGAGACTTAGGGATTATTATTAATATTAAAAATAATGTAATTAAAAGTGTATCTCCCGTGTGGACTATGGAAGGAATGTGTGAATAAGATGGGTATTTGTTGAAAGAATGGATGGATGGATGGGACCTCGCTTCTATAACTTTCAGCAACTCTACAGGCCAGAGGATTTAAAAAGCTTGTTGAGAAAAATCTAAGAAAAGTTTCATTTTAGATGGCGCGGAAAAGGCAAATCGTCGTCTCTCCCGCCGCAACTTGAGGCCGCCTCCCTTTCCCCAGCCTAACTGAAGCGCTGAGGTGAGCGCATCGATGAGCGTGCGCTGCGCATCGATGAGCGCGGCGGCTCGGCTAGTTGGGGCTGGATTGCTTCATCCCGGAAGTGGGTTGAAGGCCGTTGAGTCCCGGTCCTGGGCCTAGCTGGGCGGGGTGGCTGGGGTTCTGCTACCGACATGGCCAGCCCCGACTCCCGGTACCCCTGCTCCTCGATCGAAGACGACTTCAACTATGGCAGCTGCGTGGCCTCTGCCAGTGTGCACATCCGCATGGGTACGTCTCTCCCCGCCCCTCCGGGCGGCCCTGCGCGGGGCCTGCTGCGCTGTCGGCCTCTGGGCGCGGCTTTCGGCCTCCGGGGAGAGAGCCTCCCGGGCGGGGCTGGCAGGCAAGCGCGGGGCTCCGGGCGTTCAGAGCCAGAGCCCTGCTTCCAGCTCTCCACCCCCGCGCCCCAGCCTCCGAGGAGGAGCGCACCCCCCGGGAGTTGGGAGGACGCGCTGCTTGGGCTCGGCCGGGGCGCCCGGGAGAGCGCGGCTCGGGAAGTGCTGTGGTCCGCTGGCTGTGCGACCGAGAGCCGGAACTGGAGCCATGACACTTTAACCCTTCCTTCCTCCGCGTAGAAAAGAGACGGATGAAAACCTCAGCAGCTTTAATTTGACGTCTTTATTTTTTTTTAAATGTTTTATTTATTTCTAGGAGAGAGAGAGAGAGAGAGAGACAGCGTGAGCAGGGGAGGGTCAGAGAGAGAGGGAGTCACAAATTGAAACAGGCTCCAGGCTCCGAGCTGGCAGTCAGCACAGAGCCCGACGCGGGGCTCGAACCCACGAACCGCGAGATCATGATCTAAGCGAAAGTCGGACGCTTAACCGACTAAGCCACCCAGGCGCCCCTAATTTGACGTCTTTATATTAAAAGAAACGAAAGGTTACTTTTTAAGGTGAAAATAAGTTTATAATGCGATCATTGTGACGTACGCCGGAAGGCAGTTACTTGCTGGCACGTCTTTGGTGTAGGGGATGTGATCACGTTTCAGGTTTTCTATTTACTTGCCTGTCTCCTTGACTGGATTGTAGGATCTGTGAGGGCAGGGACCATATCTCTTCTTGTTCACTAGTTAGTCTCTGCAAGACCTGGAACTCGCCACAAGTTTGAGTATTCATTGAGGCAGTTGCCGAAAATGGGAGCTTTAGAGGTCAATCAAAATACAGTATTCGTTTTAAGTTATTATGCAATATTTACTGGGCAGAATTATTTTGAATTTAAAATGTTTCTAAAAAAATAAAATGCGTACCTTCATGTAATTAGAATTCATTGTCCTCTCTAGTTCAGCCAATTGATTACAGAAGTTGCCCCAGATTTTCATCCTTTCCCTGTGGCTGGAATTTGTTCCACAAAGGAATTATGAAGGTCGGATGTACTAAGAATCTTGATCCCTAACATCTTTATTCTTGGAATTGAATTTTGGAATGATTTTGGCAAATGAGCATAGTTTTTTAAGTTAAAAATTTAATGGTGGTCCATTAAAATTTTAAAACATGGTCCATTAAAATTGTATCATCTCCACCATTTTTAAGTGTACAGTTCCGGAGTGTTAAGTATATTCACATTGTTGTGCAACCCATCTCCAGTACCTTCTAATCTTGCAACACTGAAAGATACCATCAGACAACTCTCTGTCTTCCCCTCCCCCAGAGCCAGGCAACTACCATTCTAGTTTCTGTTTTATGAGTTTGGCTACTCTAGACACTGCACGTAAGTGCATCATAATGTATGTGTCATTTCGTGACTGCCTTATTTCATTTAGCATGTTTTCAGGGAGTATCCATTTTGTAGCCTGTATCAGACTTCACTTTTTTAGGAGTGATTTTCCATTTGCAAATAAATTACATTTTGTTAATTCATTTATCTGTTGGTAGTCGCTTGGGTAGCTTTCACCTACTATGAATGATACCGTTATAAACGTGTGCACAATACCCCCTTGAGATCTGCTTTGAGTTCTATGCGTACCCCAAAGTGGAATTGCTGGATCATATGTGTTTTAGAGACAGACCTCTCTTTTCCCTCTTGAGTAGGGAGGAAGTGGAATTACTGGATCATACCTGTTTATTCCCTCTTGAGTAGGGAAAAAACCCAGTTCCTCCTCCTGTGTTTCTCTTTACTACTCACACAGAACACTTGAGTTCTGACACTTAGGGTCACCAAATGTGGGTTGTTTTTTTTTTCTACACCAAGCAATTCTGCATGATGCCAGCTGTGTGTCCTACAATTTAACTCAATTCTGACACTGTCTCCTAGACGATAGCAACAGATCTCATAGGTTAAGGGCTCAGTCCCATAGACTGCTCCCACCCCACTTCAGATGCCAATTGCAAGTAATAAATAGGTCCCCAGGTAACCCGTAGTTTGTTAGACTTGGCTATAAATTGAAGGTTCCCATGACTCCTTCCTTGGGTTTGATTAATTTGCCAGAGCAGCTCACAGAACTCAAGGAGACACTTTTACCAGTTTATTAAAAGATACAGGTAAACAGCCAGATGAAGAGAGAGAGTGGGAGGTCTGGGAGGGCACCAAGTGCAGAAGCTTCTGTCCCCATGGAGTGAAGGTGTGTTCCCCTTCCAGGATGTGGATGTGTTCTCTTCACCAACCCGGAAGCTCTCCAAACCATCTTCTTAATGTTTTGTGGAGGCATCCTCACATAGGCATGATCAATTATTAACTCCACTTCTCCCCGCTTCAGCAGGGCTCGAAATTCCAAGCTTGTTTATGGCTTATTTTTCCTAGCGACCAGCCCTCATCCAGGAGCTCACCTAGAATTGCCTCAGTAGAACAGAAGAGACACCTGTCACCCAGGAAATCACGAGTTCTGTGCCAGAAACCTGAGGCAGAGACTAATATATATTTTCTATTATCTCACTATATGGTCATTGTATTTTTAGTTTTTTGGGGAACCACCATACTGTTTTACATAGTGACTGCACCATTTTATATTCTACACAACATTGCTCAAGTGTTCCTATTTCTCTACATTCTCACTGACACTTGTTCTCGCCTTTTTTTTCCTCTAAGTAGCCATCCAAATGGGCTTGAGGTGATATTTCATTGTGGTTTTGCCTTGCATTTCCCTGATAATGAGTGATGTTCAGCATCTTTTCATATACTTTGAAGAAATGTGATTAAGTTGTTTCCCCTTTTTGAAAAGTGGTTATGGATAAAGTTACAGTGTAGATTTTTGTGTCGTCCTCATTTGGGTAAATGCCAACAAGCACAGTTGCTGCATTGTATACTGAGAGTATGGTTAGTTTTGTAAGAAACCACCAAACTGTCTTCCAAAGTAGCTGTACCATTTTGCATTCCACCAGCAACGAATGAGAGGTCCTGTTGCGCCATATTCTAGCCAGCATTTGGTGGTGTCAGGTTTTGGATTTTGGCTAGTCTAGTAGATGTAGTAGTATCTCGTTGTTTTAATTGGCATTTCCCGGATAACATATGAGCATCTTTTCATGTTATTTGCTCTCTGTATATTTTGTTCAGGGAAGTGTCCAGATCCTCTGCATGCTCTTTAATTGAGTTCATTTTCTTGCTGAATTTTACGAGTTCTTTGTATATTTTGGATAATAGTCCTTTAATCAGATGCATCTTTGCAAATATTTTCTGTTAGGCTGTGGCTTATCTTCTCATTCTCTTTGTCCATATTTTCATTGGGTTATATATTTGTTGTTGTTGAGTTGTAAGAGTTCCTTATATAGTCTAGATATTAACCTCTTATTGTATATATGATTTACACATTTTCTCCCATTCTGTAGGTTGCCTTTTCACTATATTGATTTGTCCTTTGAGGCAGCTTTAAATTTTGATGTAGTACAATTTATCTCTGAAAAGTACAGCTTTTTTTGCCTGTGCTTTTAGGATCATATTTAAGAAATCATTGCCAAACCCAATGCCATGAAGCTTTTCCCTTGTGTTTTTTTACTAAGAGTTTTTATAGTTTTAGGTCTTATGCTTAGGTCTTGAATTTATTTTGAGTTAATCTTTGTATATGAGGTAATGTAAGGGTTCAACTTCATTCTTTTGCATAAGGATATCCTGTTTTTTCCAGCGCTGTTTGTTAAAGAGACAGCCCTTTCCTTCATTGAATGGTCTTGGCATCCATGTTGACAATCATTTGACCATATATGCAAGGGTTTACTTTTGCTCTTCTAGTCCATTGTGTTCTGTATGTCTGTCTTTATGTCAGTTCCACACTATTTTGATTATTCTTTGGTTACTTACTACTCTGTAATAAGTTTTGAAATCAGAAAGTGTGAGACCTCAACCTTTGTTGTTCTTCCATATTGTTTTGGGTATTCAGGGTCCCTTGAGATTCCATGTTAATTTTTGGATGCATTTTTCTGTATCTGCAAGAAGGACCATTGGGATTTTGATAGGGATTGATGTGGGGTTGCGAGTGAACAGTTAAGTAAGAATTCTTGAGATGTTTTGGGGGCAAAACCGTGCTTTTGTTATAACACGGGCAGGACCTGGAGGCAGAAAGAGCTGCACTTTTGCTATAAGAAGTTGGTGGTTAAATGCATAACTGTTCAAGGGGGAGAGAACATGCAAGGAATATTAGATCATAAATGTCTTCTTCGAATTTCTATTTGTAAATCTGCTTTTGCAGATTTTTCTGGTGTTTACCATTCAGCTCGATATTAACTATCAGGCAGGCTATAGGTCAGCTTTCTGGGCTAAAGGTGATCATTTTTCTGCTTCTCTCCCTCATCAGTGATTGCATTAGATCTATAGCTCTTTTTGCGTGTGACATTTAACAACATTAATTTAACAACACTAAACAATAGTTTAATCTATGAACATTGGATGTTGTTGGATGTCATGTATTTGTGCCTTCTTTCAGCAGTGTTTTGTAGTTTTCAGAGTACAAGTCTTTCTTGCCTTCTTGGTTAGATTTCTAAGTATTTTGTCCTTTTTGATCCTTGTAAGTGGAAGTTCTCCCTTAAGTTTCTTTTCCTTTTTGACTTGCTCATTGTTGGTGTATAAAATGCAACTGATTTTTTTGCATGTTGATTTTGTATCATGGAACTTAGCTGAATTCATTCGTTAGTTCTATCTAATTGCTTGTGGAATCTTTAGAGTTTTCTACATATAAGATCATGTCATGTGTAAACAGAGATAATTTTACCTTTTTTTCCTTTCCAGTTTGGATTCCTTTTATTTCTTTTATCCTGCCCAATTGCTCTGGCTAGGACTTCAGTACTATGTTAAATAGAAGTGGCAAAGCA